TCAAACAGTCACACTCCAAACTCCACTATGGCCAAGACCAAAGAGCTGTCAAAGGACACCAGAAACAAAATTGTAGACCTGCACCAGGCTGGGAAGACTGAATCTGCAATAGGTAAGCAGCTTTGTTTGAAGAAATCAACTGTGGGAGCAATTATTAGGAAATGGAAGACATACAAGACCACTGATAATCTCCCTCGATCTGGGGCTCCACGCAAGATCTCACCCCGTGGGGTCAAAATGATCACAAGAACGGTGAGCAAAAATCCCAGAACCACACGGGGGGACCTAGTGAATGACCTGCAGAGAGCTGGGACCAAAGTAACAAAGCCTACCATCAGTAACACACTACGCCGCCAGGGACTCAAATCCTGCAGTGCCAGACGTGTCCCCCTGCTTAAGCCAGTACATGTCCAGGCCCGTCTGAAGTTTGCTAGAGTGCATTTGGATGATCCAGAAGAGGATTGGGAGAATGTCATATGGTCAGATGAAACCAAAATAGAACTTTTTGGTAAAAACTCAACTCGTCGTGTTTGGAGGACAAAGAATGCTGAGTTGCATCCAAAGAACACCATACCTACTGTGAAGCATGGGGGTGGAAACATCATGCTTTGGGGCTGTTTTTCTGCAAAGGGACCAGGACGACTGATCCGTGTAAAGGAAGGAATGAATGGGGCCATGTATCGTGAGATTTTGAGTGAAAACCTCCTTCCATCAGCAAGGGCATTGAAGATGAAACGTGGCTGGGTCTTTCAGCATGACAATGATCCCAAACACACCGCCCGGGCAACGAAGGAGTGACTTCGTAAGAAGCATTTCAAGGTCCTGGAGTGGCCTAGCCAGTCTCCAGATCTCAACCCCATAGAAAATCTTTGGAGGGAGTTGAAAGTCCGTGTTGCCCAGCGACAGCCCCAAAACATCACTGCTCTAGAGGAGATCTGCATGGAGGAATGGGCCAAAATACCAGCAACAGTGTGTGAAAACCTTGTGAAGACTTACAGAAAACGTTTGACCTGTGTCATTGCCAACAATGGGTATATAACAAAGTATTGAGAAACTTTTGTTATTGACCAAATAATTATTTTCCACCATAATTTGCAAATAAATTCATTAGAAATCCTACAATGTGATTTTCTGGATTTTTTTTCCTCATTTTGTCTGTCATAGTTGACGTGTACCTATGATGAAAATTACAGGCCTCTCTCATCTTTTTAAGTGGGAGAACTTGCACAATTGGTGGCTGACTAAATACTTTTTTCCCCCACTGTATGTACAAAATAAGTTACAAACAATGCGAAAAAACACACAAAATAGCACATTTGGTTAGAAGCCCGTAAAACGGCAGCCATCCCCTCCGGCGCCATTATAACTGGGTGGTTCGAGCCCTGAATGCTGATTGGCTGAAAGCCGTGGTATATCAGACCGTATACCATAGGTATGACAAAACATTTATTTTTACTCTTCTAATTACATTGGTAACCGGTTTATAATAGCAATAAGGCACCTCTGGGGTTTGTGGTATATGGCCAATACTGTATACCATGGCTAAGGGCTGTATCCAGGCACTGCGTGTTCCGTCGTGCATAAGAACAGCCCTTAGCCGTGGTATATTGGCCATATACAGTGAGGGAAAAAAGTATTTGATCCCCTGCTGATTTTGTACGTTTGCCCACTGACAAAGACATGATCAGTCTATCATTTTAATGGTAGGTTTATTTGAACAGTGAGAGACAGAATAACAACAAAAAAATCTAGAAAAACGCATGTCAAAAATGTTATAAATTGATTTGCATTTTAATGAGGGAAATAAGTATTTGACCTCTCTGCAAAACATGACTTAGTACTTGGTGTCAAAACCCTTGTTGGCAATCACAGAGGTCAGACGTTTCTTGTAGTTGGCCACCAGGTTGCACACATCTCAGGAGGGATTTTGTCCCACTCCTCTTTGCAGATCTTCTCCAAGTCATTAAGGTTTCGAGCCTGACGTTTGGCAACTCGAACCTTCAGCTCCCTCCACAGATTTCCTATGGGATTAAGGTCTGGAGACTGGCTAGGCCACTCCAGGACCTTAATGTGCTTCTTCTTGAGCCACTCCTTTGTTGCCTTGGCCGTGTGTTTTGGGTCATTGTCATGCTGGAATACCCATCCACGACCCATTTTCAATGCCCTGGCTGAGGGAAGGAGGTTCTCACCCAAGATTTGACAGTACATGGCGCCGTCCATCGTCCCTTTGATGCGGTGAAGTTGTCCTGTCCCCTTAGCAGAAAAACACCCCCAAAGCATTATGTTTCCACCTCCATGTTTGACGGTGGGGATGGTGTTCTTGGGGTCATAGGCAACATTCCTCCTCCTCCAAACACGGCGAGTTGAGTTGATGTCAAAGAGCTCGATTTTGGTCTCATCTGACCACGACACTTTCACCCAGTTCTCCTCTGAATCATTCAGATGTTCATTGGCAAACTTCAGATGGGCCTGTATATGTGCTTTCTTGAGCAGGGGGACCTTGCGGGCGCTGCAGGATTTCAGTCCTTCACGGCGTAGTGTGTTACCAATTGTTTTCTTGGTGACTATGGTCCCAGCTGCCTTGAGATCATTGACAAGATCCTCCCGTGTAGTTCTGGGCTGATTCCTCACTGTTCTCATGATCATTGCAACTCCACGAGGTGAGATCTTGCATGGAGCCCCAGGCCGAGGGAGATTGACAGTTATTTTGTGTTTCTTCCATTTGCGAATAATCGCACCAACTGTTGTCACCTTCTCACCAAGCTGCTTGGCGATGGTCTTGTAGCCTACTCCAGCCTTGTGTAGGTCTACAATCTTGTCCCTGACATCCTTGGAGAGCTCTTTGGTCTTGGCCATGGTGGAGAGTTTGGAATTTGATTGATTGATTGCTTCTGTGGACAGGTGTCTTTTATACAGGTAACAAACTGAGATTAGGAGCACTCCCTTTAAGAGTGTGCTCCTAATCTCAGCTCGTTACCTGTATAAAAGACACCTGGGAGCCAGAAATCTTTCTGATTGAGAGGGGTCAAATATTTATTTCCCTCATTAAAATGCAAATCAATTTATAACATTTTTTACATGCGTTTTCTTGATTTTTTTTTTGTTATTCTGTCTCTCACTGTTCAAATAAACCTACCATTAAAATTATAGACTGATCATTTCTTTGTCAGTGGGCAAACGTACAAAATCAGCAGGGGATTAAATACTTTTTTCCCTCACTGTACCACACCCCTCAGGCCTTATTGCTTAATTGAACAGCTGTCAGCTTCAATACCTCGCAGCCAAACCATACCATGAACAGCTTTAGAGGAACCTTTTCTATAAGAGAGTTATATTGTTTCTATGGATATGAGTTACTGCGTAAGGCTCCAGAAAGCCATCTAATGTCCTCCTAACAGCATTACATGATATGTGAAAATAGTGTATAGTGTGACAGACACACAAGTAAAATGGCTCATGGGAGAAGTGCAGTAATGACAGTATCCTGCTGTGACATTATCTGTTGGAGAGTATCTATGGTTTCCATTCAGCCCACTAGTCTAGTCCACACCTGTTGCTGGAGCTGACTGGGGCTGGGACAGCCATACTCTGTCTGCAGTAATATTAGCCCCCATCTCTCTGTTCTTGTTTGGGCATATTATGTGTAACTGGCTGCTCCTCCTCTCTCCATTCAAATCCCTGGGGTCCTCTCCTTTCCTGAATCCCACACATGTTCCTTCATGTTAAATGTTACGCTCTGTTTATTGTTCTTAATGCATATACAATATCCTTAGGGTTATCCATTGACATGGCTGTGTGTATCTTTGCTTTGTGATTAATTGGTTGCCCTGTGGATAACAAATGAATAAAATGTACAAACGGTGCCTTGCATGACAAAATACTTAATTTTGCTCTTGGGAGGAAAACCCTCCCAGTTTAGGTTATTTTGGCCATTGTCCACTCTATGAAAATGTATATAGCTCTTTCTGGAGTGATAAGAGATGATTGTTTCAACAAATGCCAAGAGAGAAACATACTGTAGGCTACTCTACAAGAAAGGCACGCTCTGTTGAAGTATATGTTTAATATCTGGACTAAGTGTAGCCAACTATTATTTTTCTTTGAAAAATGACCATTGCAAGATTTTAGACTCATAGTAAATGTGCCTCTCATTATGTAATGTTCAAGCACTTGATATGTGTGCACTCTAATGTATATTTTCTTCCTATATGATGCAGCTTTCTGTGTTACAATTGTTGTGAGAAGGTGATGGAAATGTGTTGGAAACATGTCAAAGAGATCAATACTAATACCTGTTTGGATCTTGAAGTATTTCAGCAAATCTGCTTTCAATCAAAGTCATGAAGAGTTATGAAATCTGTTCTTCCAATCACACCCAATTGTTAGGCTACTACTAACTCACTACTAAGCCTTAGATGAGGCTACAATGTGACATTATTAGGCGCTTCAGTTCCACCGCAACGTTAAAAAAAGGCCTGGATAAAGTAAAAATGTGTGTTGAAATCATGTGATTGTAACTAGACAAACAGCCCACTGGGCAAAGACGTCAGTTCAACGTCTAGTTTTGATTTACATTTGCTTTAGTTGTCAACTAATGTGAATTAAACGTGAAATCAACCAAACATTTCACCATGTGATTGGATTTCTTGGATGAAATGACGTGGAAACAACGTTGATTCAACCAGTTTTACACAGTGGGAGACGTCAGTTTAGTTCGGCAAACGTCAGGAACATACAGGAAATTCATTCTCATGTGTTTGGGATGGGAATCAACCGTTCACACAGGCCTATACCTTAGTGGAATCAACACGCAAGCGCGGGGAAATGATTCATAACGCGATTTGTTTTTATGAACAGAGCTGTCAGCGCCGTCGCGAGCCACTGCCCTAAAGATCCGGTCAAGTCCAAACTTGATCCTCGTGGGGACAGTGCGCTGCTCGAGCTCTGCAGTCCCCGCGGCGCGCGTGTGTTACAGCTAGAACAAACACAGCTATTTATAACGCCACGCAGCACAATTTGCCATTTGTGAGTGCGTGGGCAGTTAGCTGGCTTTATGGTGTCAACTGACTTCTCTGCAGCTGTTGCTGCCAACTGAACCGGTAGGCTATCTCTACGCGATTTTTAAGCTCCCAGATAGATATAGTGGTTGGAAAAACTATAACATACATAAATGTTTGAAATAGGAAAGAAACTCATAACTCCAACTTTCAATTAAGTGACATTTGTTCTAGGCCTGGGCCAGTGTGGACTAAACCTTCATTAAAATGGGGGCAATTAGGCCCTCTCTTTCCCTCTCACTCATCTCCTTGGAAATGCAATATTGCTGGCGTAGCATATTATTAAGTTTAACAATTTAAACTGAGCCAGTTTAAAATCTAATTTAGAAATTACATTATAATTTTGAGCAGACAAGGAGAGCTTTGCAGCCTTGAAGCAGAGCGTTTGGCACAGCTGCTGTGGCCCCTAAAGCTGACCGTGCTGGGCCAGACAGAGTTCTTACCTGCGCCCGTCTCCTTGTTCTCCTTGCTGTCAGTGCCCGGTTCCTGGACTTGCTTGTCGTTGTCACAAGTCCCCTGGTCCAGCCGTGCTTCAGTCCTGGAGCAGCAGTACCGGAGCTCGCATTTCCCGCAGCAGATGATGGCATCCTCACCATCGAACTTCTCCGGGCACTGGAAGCCCTCTCTCCATGTGCCCTGGTTGTCATGCCAACCGTGACAGTACTCCCCACTCGCCTTCACGTCAATAATAGCCAGGAGCAGAGTCACAACCACTGTGACAGACATTGGGAGACCTCGGCCACCCCACATCCCGACCATGGTGCCCGTGTGCACACTGGGCGCGCTGTGAGACAGATGCTTTCTTTCTCTTACTCTCAGGCTCTAACCTGGCTAACAGAGTGATACGGTGAATGAATTAAATGAAAGAGAGAGGCGACGAAGTGGAAACAAAACTAACGACTTTGAAACTATCATTTGACAGTGGAATTCCGTGGGTAAGCCTAATTCAATAGATCCACAAATGTGTCACCAAAGCGCTACTTTTAAAAGTGTCCACTGTTTGAAGTTTATCACAAGATTCCAATTAGCGTTAGTAACGCTTGTTGAGAAAATAAACCATTATCAAATACCCAGAACATAAATAGCCTACATTTGGCACCAATCTTACAACTAGCCTATTATTTCATAGCGCGTCTTTCACTCTCAATTTCACGGCTGTGAGCTCTCGGAGCCCCGGGTAAATCCAACATCAATCCAGGCTGAGCGGAATCCCTCTGGCACGGAAGCGAGGCTGTCCATGGTCTCCTGAAAATACGCTTCTCGGATGACTTTCCCCCAGAGATGCAGCGAAACCAACACTGGCCTTACATGTAATCCATACGCGCCCTGCGAGTGTTCTCACGGAATCTCCCCTTGTCCCTCTGTCCAGTCCACCAGCCCATCAAGTTGTTTTTCTCCACTTCTAATGCATGTCATGAGGTGAACTTCTCAAAACTTTTCTACAGTAGACTAAAATGTTGGAAACTAGTCCATGAGACTAAAATCGAATAGAGCACAGTCTCTGGTGCGCATTAAGGATAGGCTACGCCAGAAAGAGACGTGCAAGAGATGTAAACTTTTCACCCATTCATACAGTATTGCCTCCCAGGCTCTCACTCCGAGTCCATCTATGGCGAGAGTGCCTCGAATGAGAGGTGGGCTACTAGTTCAGCCATGCGCTTGCGCATTGGTTACTGACATTTTTCTAGACTTTTCAGCGCTCAGCTCAGCCAGCCAGCCAGTTGTCAGTGTGAAGAAGTGTCACTGCGTACGGTTCCGAGGAGCACCTCCGCTTTCTGAGGGTAGCCCCAGTGCGGTGTTGGGTGTGGGTGCTCCCTTGGGACCCCTGCGCGCACAATGGAAGCCCCGCTCGTTGAATGGAGCGCACGCACAGTCTGCTGCCCGGGTGGGACTCATACATTATCACTTTAAATTGACTTTTGTGCAATCTCTCTCACACCGATATGAATAGGCCCTATCGAGTGAATACCATATCATTAGGAATTAGAATACTAATAGGAATTTAATAGGATCTTTATGGTGAATAATAACTCATAATAATAATGTGGTCCTCTGTACCTCAGCTGGTAGAGCACCGCGCTTGTAACGCCAAGGTAGTGGGTTCGATCCCCGGGACCACCCATACACAAAAATGTATGCACGCATGACTGTAAGTCGCTTTGGAGTCATGCGTGCATACATTTTTTGTGTATGGGTGGTCCCATATATTAGGCTAACTACCAACTTTTTTTTAGTTAGGCTACATTACATCTTTCTCCTGATTATGTTGTTCAATGTTCAAGGTGGGTAGGTCTACTGTCTGTTCTGTCATATGGGAGCTGAACATAATTTGTAAGATGACATTGTCACCTGGTGGTCAAACGTATTAGCACAAATCCATAGAACCACTTGTTTTTTCCCCATTATTGATTATGCAAATGCTATACATTGTAATTTTAGATTTGGAACGTAATGAAGAGTGGACCTATTTTTCAAGTCATTTTTATAGCGTTTAGCCCTATCGCAAGCTCTTTCTTGCTACATCTAACTTACATCTCTTGCAAAACAACTCTGTGCGCCTTGCTTGTAGCTGTTGAAGACTACATTTCCCGTTATGCTATACTGCCAAAGAGCGTCCTTGTATTGGTAACTAGGAAGTGAGAAATGTAACCCAGAAGCGCGCAACAACTGTTGAACACAGCGCCACTCCACAACGGTAAGAAAACAATGAATACAGCAAACTAACTAAACACTTTGCTACAGTTAACTTAGTTTGCCAGTTAGCTACAACTATCTAGTTTAAGAGTAGCTTGCGTATGACTTTCATTGAAAAAGCTCTAATCTGGCAAACAACATAGCTAGGTAGGCTAACGTTAGCTAGTTAGCTAGCTATCCGGCTAATCAGACATTTTCTAGCTAGCTAACGTTATCGTTTATATCCCAGATGTCGTTTACGAGGGTGGGCCGCTTACAGCACAGTCAGGGAAAACGACCTGCTATGCGTCCCAAGAAGGCCAATGCCCCGAAGAGAGAGTGGGTGGTGAGTGTGCTAGTAGTTGCTGTCACTGTCATTGAATCAACTTTGCCACCAGGGGAGAATGAAGAGATACATTTATGAAATTATGATGACTACCATCTTCTGCTAATTTCAGAGCACCGTCCATGACCTCTCTGTACACAAGGCTTCACCGGAGGAGCTGGTAAGAGAGACATGTTATTGTTCTCTCTCTCTTTCTCTCTCATATTTTATGATGTTAGTTAGCCTAGGTCAGTATGCCTCGTTATCTCTCTTCCTCCTCAGAGTCGTCGTCATGAGATGCACCGGTCACAGAACCGAGTGGTAGCCCAGTGGGAGCTGAGAGAGAGAGCTCTGAGACGCAGGAGGAAGAAGGGCCTCCCTGGTGGCCCAGCTCCACTAGACCGCACCAGCCTCAACATCATAAGAGAGGTGAGGAGTACAGACAGACCTCATGCTCAGATCGTAGGGGTATCTCACATAAATCTAATTTGATATGAAACTGCTTTGAAATTGCAAACTCAAAAGTCAGCGCGCAACTCATTGATCACTTTACATCCTCTTGATTCCCCTCAGATGTTGCTTGAATGTTGTTTATATTACATAGTCGCAGATTAAACCTTTGTCTTCAAACTGAAGGCTCGTTGTCTTATTGTGCTGTAGGTGTTCTCAGATCAGTTCCAGCTGCAGGATGTTCTGGCCCGGTCAGACAGAGCCATGGCTGTGGTCAAAGACTTGTTTGGCGACGCACCTCGCAGGCAGACCGGTACGATAATGCTCTTATCCTGCTATGGATTACTTAATGGCTCTTCAATGTGTGTTGATCATGTATGGTTATTGTATGTCTATGTGTTTAAATGTTCTCTATGCATTAAACAGGGTTTCCGTTGTGGTGCCGTACATCTGACCAGCAGCATTTTAATTTACTGGACATTTGAGAAATTTACCGGACCCATAACTTGATTAGGGCATCCACCCACGGTGCTCCGAATGACATAAAACACATTTAGATCATGGTAATTCATCTTAACATGCAACTACGTGCATCCTTACCAAATTCCGATGCGTACTTTGAAGATGTTAGAATAAGTGTCCACATTTACTTTTCCTCAGCCAACAAGACGAGTAACGAACAGCAAAATCACAAGCCTATGTCAATCTACTATCCCCCATAGTAGAAAAGTTGACCTATTCTATTGGTCAGCTTGTCAAGAAAGAAATAGCCTGTTCCAAACACTCTGGGATAGTTGTGGGACGATAGATCCCAAATCCAACCAGTAGGCCTCGGCTACATAAAAACCATTTTCTAAAGCAATGAGTCTGATGCAACAGATCAGAACAGTTAGCTTAAAATGTTGATAAACTATTATTTCTTCACATTATAAGCAATGCGCACAAGGCAGGAGGCTACGCACAAATGTTTGTTCCATAATGTAGTTAGGGGGAAAACACCGTTGTCAAAAGGGCACAGCACATGCGAGCGGTTTCATGTGACAGATGAAATTACAGTGCCTTCGCAAAGTCTTCAGACCCCTTGACTTTTTCCACATTTTGTTAAGTTACATCCTTATTCTAAGATGGATGAAATTGTTTTTTCCCCCTTATCAATCTACACACAATACCCCAGAATGACAAAGCAAAAACAGGTTTTTAGACATTTTGCTAATTTAAAAAGAAAATAAAAAAACCCGGAAATATCACATTTACAAAAGTATTCAGACCCTTTACTCAGTACTTTGCTGAAGCACCTTTTGCAGCGATTACAACATTGAGTCTTCTTGAGTATGACGCTACAAGCTTGGCACACCTGTATTTGGGGAGTTTCTCCCATTCTTCTCTGCAGATCCCCTCAAGCTCTGTCAGGTTGGACTGGGAGCATTGCTGCACAGCTATTTTCAGGTCTCTCCAGAGATGTTCGATCAGGTTCAAGTCCGGGCTCTGGTTGGGCCACTCGAGGACATTCAGAGACTTGTCCAGAAGCCACTCCTGCGTTCTCTTGGCTGTGTGCTTAGGGTCGTTGTCCTGTTGGTAGGTGAACCTTCGCCCCAGTCTGAGGTCCTGAGCGCTCTGGAGCAGGTTTTCATCAAGGATCTTTCTGTACTTTGCTCCGTTTATCTTTGCCTCGATCCTGACAAGTCTCCCAGTCCCTGCCGCTGAAAAACATCCCCACAGCGTGATGCTGCCACCACAATGCTTCACCATAGGGATGGTGCCAGGTTTCCTCCAGACGTGACGCTTGGTATTCAGGCCAAAGAGTTCAATCTTGGTTTCATCAGACCAGAGAATCTTGTTTCTCATGGTCTGAGAGTCTTTAGGTGCCTTTTGGCAAACTCCAAGTGGGCTGTCATGTGCCTTTTACTGAGGAGTGGCTTCCATCTGGCCACTCTACCATAAAGGCCTGATTGGTGGAGTGCTGCAGAGATGGTTGTCCTTCTGGAATGTAATACCAATCTCCACAGAGGAACTCTGTCAGAGTGACCATCGGGTTCTTGGTCACCTCCCTGACCAAGGCCCTTCTCCCCCGATTGCTCAGTTTGGCCGGGCGGCCAGCTCTAGGAAGAGTCTTGGTGGTTCCAAACTTCTTCCATTTAAGAATGATGGAGGCCACAATGCTGCAGAAATTATTTGGTACCCTTCCCCAGATCTGTGCCTCGACACAATCCTGTCTCAGAGCTCTACGGACCATTCCTTTGACCTCATGGCTTGGTTTTTGCTCTGACATGCACTGTCAACTGTGGGACCTTATATAGACAGGTGTGCACCTTTCCAAATCATGTCCAATCAATTGAATGTACCACAGGTGGACTCCAATTTCGAGTCTCAAAGCAAAGGGTCTGAATACTTATGTGTTATTTTTTTCTTTTCGCTTTGTCATTATATGGTATTATGTGTAGATTGCTGGAGAAAAAAACATTTAATACATTTTAGAGTAAGGCTGTAACGTAACAAAATGTGGAAAAAGTAAAGGTCTGAATACTTTCCAAAGGCACTGTATCTGTTAGAAATGTAGAAAGAGGGGAGATCTAAAGATGCAACAACTAGCAAGGGTTGCAAATATGACTAGGATTGTGCCTTTAGCTACTGGACAATGAAAGAAAGTTGATTTTAAAACCAATAGAACATGAGAGAAATAGTCTACTGGTTTCAATGGCATATGGAAGTCTTTATAAAATAATTGCCTCTACGGATTTGGTCAGATTTTGGCTAGGCTACTTTGAAGCAAGGTAAGACATGCCTCATATATATATATATATATATATATATATATATATATATATATAGTAAAACTTTCTGGATTCAAACAATTAAGTATATGTTTTCAAAATGCATACTGCCTCCAGCTCTGATGCGCTGATGAAGCCAAAGCATGCTTCAATTACCAGTTGAAAAATAGAAATTGTAGCTCTTTTTAATCGTGGCCATCAACAATTTTTATTTTTTACATGCAATTGCATTTAGAATTGTTGCACAATGATTGGGCCTATAAAATGTTTAATTCTAGCAGCAACGAAACAGCTGTTTGAGGGGCTGTAGCAGCAGCTCTCGCGCTGCCTGACAGATTTTCTGCTCAAAGGCTCTGTACCTGTATGCTGTGCGCATGTGATAAATAAGATACTAACGAATATACACGTGGCAATTTAATTCCACGAAATTATGCAAATTACCCATTAGATCGGTAAGCATGACCAGTCAAATGTATTTACATCGACTGGTATTTCAATCAATTAGGCATTTTTTCGTAATGGGATTTTTCTTCTTCCAGACAATCGGCTTTAAAAAAATGTATTGTATTGTCTAAAAGCCAGTTATTACCGGTTAACGGAAGCCCTAAAGTGTTGTTGTGAGTGATTGTATTCTTTGTGTTTCTCAGGGTTCCCCAGTGTTACCATGGCTCCAGACTGTGGCTCTGACTCAGACCTGCCTGTCCTGCAGAAACCAGAGGCCCCAACACAGCTCTCCCTCCTCAGCCAGTCTATGATGGACCCACAGGTACTGCTCTCACTCTCGCTCTCTTGTGTGCTTGTGTGTCTTTTTCCATTTCTTAACATGTTTATTTTTTATTTCAGGCTCTGAATGAGCTGGAGGACTCTGAAGACCATAGTGATGAAGAAACTGGCCATTCTGCCTCTATCAGTTTCAACTCCAACATGGATACCAGGTAACAACGCTGCCATTCTGCCAAACACTTAGCAATGCCCACACACAATGCTTCCCACTCATACACACCCATTACAAATTATTATTTGCCAGACGTGGACGTCTATTAAGGCAGCCCCCCGCACCTCTCTGATTCAGAGGGGTTGGGTTAAATGCGGAAGACACTTTTCGGTTGAATGCATTCAGTTGTGCAACTGACTAGGTATCCCCTTTTACCCTTATCTGTTGTAATGTTTCTATCATAAGCTCACATCCTTTTCTGTTGTCAGTTACAGGGTGCATACCCGGAAGGTGAAAGCCAAGTCTCGTACCAGAGGAGAGAAGCAGCAAAGACCCCAGTCTAACTCCAACCTCCAGGGGGCAGGAGGAGACAGCCCCCCTCAGACTCCCTGTGCCTCAGGGGGAACCCAACTACAAGCAGGTAAGAGGACAGATCCTTTAACTGGGAGGAGGGCTTGGATAGATGGCGTGCTATACTATACATCAAGTCTCATCCCCTATTTTCTATCTCAACTCTCTCTCACCCTCATTCTCTCTGTTCCTTTTCCCTCCTCTATCCTCCTCGCTCTCTATCCAGCTCTGAATGCCACAGTAAAAGTCCAGCGGTTGCGGTCCAGACAGCCCCAACCCCAGTCTGAACCTGAGGAGCGTTTCACCCTGGTCACTCAGGTCCTGAACCCTGACCCTCCTCTCACCCGCTCAGGTACCACTCATAGTGCATTACAACAACAGTCAATTAATTAGGTACTATTGTGTGAAGTTGACTGAATTAGTGCACATTAATGTGCTGTACTTGGTGCATAAAAGCATATGTTAACATGTTTCTCTATGTATCTTGTTTATATGTAGGCAGGAAGAGCCGGTCCTCGAAGGCCAGTAGGGGGCGCAGTACTGAGTCAGGTCTGGATGGCTCTACCCTCAGCTCTCTGAGTGGGAACCAGTCCAGCCTGGGGCTGCTGCAGGGCCTGCTGGGTCAGGTGGAGACAGAGCTGGAGGGCCTGGGGCCAGAGGAGCCTCCCAGAGCCCCAGGAGCAGGGGGAGGAGAGCGGACGACGGGGCCAAAGCATAGCACACACGGCCTCACAGGCTTCTCTGTGGCTCTGGTGTCTACACTGGGCCGTCTGGCTAGGCTACTCAGACAGGTACGTCTGACTAATGACTATTAGACTGGTTCTCTGTGTCTATGTTCTGTTATACCAGTATGATTGACAGCTCCGTCCCCTGTGTGTCAGAGAGAGGAGGAGGCTCAGAGGGAGGGAAAGGAGAGGAGGAGGCTGGAGGAGGAGGTGAAGGAGCAGAGGGGGCTGATAGATGCCCTCACCACAGAGACCCTGATCCTGAGAGAGGAGAGCGCCGCCCTGCAGGTCAGAACAGACATCACACACACAGTATCTCTCTACATCACTTCTACCTTAATGGCTTCCAAGGCTAATTCATGTTTCTTCAAATCATTATGTGAGATGAAGAGATCTCTAATAGTGATTTCCCTCCAGGCAGGTCTGCAGCAGCGAGCGTGTGATCTGGAACAGAGGCTGGACACAGTGTTGCTGGCACTGGGGGGATTGGGGGTACTAGGAGGAGACAGGGACTATGAGCAACAAGACACTGGCAGCATAGCTACAGGTCAGTACACACAAACACACACACAGTTCACTATCATGTTCCTCAACGTGTTATGAGTATTGGTAAAGAGTTGTGTCCCTATGCAGGCAGTGAGTGGGAACCATCCTATGACGCAGACGCTCCTGTACCCTCCTATGAACAGAATCAGGCTGGTCTCACTCTCAACCCTGCTGTGCTGCTCTCACCACCACGTCAGAGAGACAACCGCCCACACGGTCACACCTCAGGTAACAGGTCTCTCTCTCTCTCTCTCTCTCTCTCTCTCTCTCTACCTCTTTCTCTCTCTACCTCTTTCTGGGTTGTCTATTTGTCTGTACTCTGCTCTCTTTCTTCATGTTTTCATTCTCTCATGTTGCTCTCCTTTCTCCCCAGCGGTTCGCTCCCTGTCTCTCCACCACGTTTCCTCTCTCCCTGTGACCCGGCGCTCCTGTGACGACCTCCAGACCGTCAGCTCCGCCCCCTCTCTCGTCAGCCTGCCCCGCCCTGCCCCTACACCCCCTCCAGCCCCCACCCCGGATCCCCTCCCTCTCCTCTGCGATCCGTCCCAGGGTGCCATGCTGTCTCAGATCGCCGAGCTGACCCGTCAGAACGCCCTCATACGGAATCAGCTGGGGCAGTTCCACCCCTCTACTCCTCCCTCCGGGTCAGGGATTTGTAAAGGTCAGAGTTCAGGCAGGGGGTCACCCAGAGACACAACAGATAGCAGAGGGTTTGTCTCCAGCAGCACAGGGAGAGTGACTCCCCAACAGGGCGTGGAGAAGAGAGGCTCTGCTCCCAGCAGTACAGGCAGAACAACACCCCAGCGTGAGGCAGGGAGAGAGAGGGGGACATGGTCCTGTGGTGGAGAGCTGCAAACACAGCAGGTGAGGAGGTCACATCTAACAGACCACTCACTGTCCAGATTTCAGGTCTTTTGAATACTGTACAGTACAGCATGATAAACATTCCATGAGTTGAACATACTGGTGCCTTCAATCAGGTTTCTCATGATTGACAGGTGAAGTACCTGCTGTTTCTCTGTGTGTCTTCTACAGTCTGTGGTTTCTGAGGGCCCAGGCTGTGAGAGCAGTGTGGAACAACGCCTCCTAGAGCTCAACAGGCAGAGTGCAGCAGCCAGGAGCAGACTGCTGGAGCTCATAGAACAACAGAGACAGAGCTCCTCCTCAGCCAGAGTCTCCCCCTCCGTCTCCCCCATACCTCCACTGTCAGGTAGGGCAGCTGTGAGACAAGGTGCGTGTGTGTGTAATGAATACTGTGTGGAGATGGTTACCTTGAAACTTTCTCCCTCTCAGCAGCAGCACTGAGCCCAGAGTCGTCCGTGCTGATGCCTGAAGAGGACCCCTCCCCCCCGGGCAGTGGAGGCAGTAGACGGTGAGTCTGAATAAGAACTGTAACCATTAGGGAGGACTGTAACCATTAGGGAGGACTGTAACCATTAGGGAGGACTGTAACCATTAGGGAGGACTGTAACCATTAGGGAGGACTGTAACCATTAGGGAGGACTGTAACCATTAGGGAGGACTGTAACCATTATGGAGGACCGTAAATTTAGGGAGAACCGTAACCAGGACAATACAACACTGACCTTAGATCAGTGACTATATGGGAAACTTTATTCTAATCGACTCGACACATTGGAGGTCGGGAGGTGATGTGGATGAAGGGATCAGAGGTCAGGGAATGATGGTCATCTTGACTGAGGAGGTCCTGTGTGTTTCAGGTCTGCTGGTGGGGTCTCTCCACAAAGCCTTGGAGGACTGTCCAGAGGCAGCAGGACTCCGGTACACACACACACACACACACACACACACACACACACACACTGGTACATCCTATTTGTGGAAATGTTGAGTCTTTTTTAAGGATGATCATACAATTTTCCCTTTTGTCTGGTACAGGTGGAAAAGCTTAAAGGAGAAGGCTGGTTTGCGTTGTCCACACATGTAAGATGAACAAGTTAAGAACAGAAAACACAAACACCCTGCAACTTTTATAACTTTTACTAGAGGTCACTTTAGACTTAAAATGTTTTTGTTTTTTTACCCTGTTTTTACCTATGCAATTTTATTATGTTTGTGAATTAAAATGTTTGATAATTTACAATGGTTGTGTGGTTGTGTTGCTAGTGCACATATCATTTTCTCCCTCAGCACAATTTCAGTTGAGGCCAGTTTCAATAACATTTAATAGCACTGTATAAAAAGGCCAGCTTTTTAAATTATTGGTGTTAAATTATTGGTGTAAGAGCTCATATTGAACATGATTACATTTACATTTTAGTAATCTAACAGATGCTCTTATCCAGAGCGACTTACAGTAAGTGCATTCATCTTAAGATAGGTAGGTGAGATCATCACATATCACAGTCATAGTAAGTGCATTTTCCTCAATAAAGTAGCTACTGTATCAGCTAAGTCAGTGCCAGTAAGAAAAGTCAGGTGCATGGTTTCTATTATAAAAAATAAAAAAAAGATTATGATTAAACTATATCGACTAAAGTACAGCATGTATTGTTGGACAAAAATATAAAACATAATGCTTCTGTGTAGATAGATAAATAACTGAACAAGGATTGTGAGGGAGAGAATGAACACACTGTCTCATTCTATAGCTGGGTTTAATAACATTAGACTCCCCAGACTCCATCCTATCATGCTTTACATGTGAAGACAGCTTTCTGGTGCTGAAGCACCTTTTTCAATAATGTGGGTGTCATCTCTATGCCTGAATACCAGCTTGTTGTTTCTGGTATTAAATCCCACCAAGTGAAACTTAAACCCTATTCGGACGGGATACGTTTTACTGGGGGAGCTCCGGTAATGTAATTATGTGCACGAGCACAAAACACCACATCCGTAATTTTAGTCCCGTCCGAATCTGCCATGTCGGTCATTTTTACATGGAAGGAAGGTTATTATCCCAGCCCTAAAAACCTACTGTTTTTCGGCAAACTCCAAGGTCCTCTAATAATACTTATCCCGTGCGAATCATCATCCCTGTGTTTTGAGGGATATTACAGAGTTTTTAACAGGTGCTGCACCCAGTTTGGGTAGAACATGGGAACAAATTGACGCTTAAAATAAAGTGCTATGCACGTAGCCTACAGATTAACTGTTTTTTTTCCACATCAACTTTCCTAGTGCCATACTTCTCTTTTAAAAGATGAAGTGGCTGATATTGTGCCAATGAATTGATAAATTGCCAAATACGTCAGGTAATTACATTTCTACATAGGTTACAGTTCATGGTTCTTATTGATATGCATTATTATTTAGACTTTCTCTGAACTGAAGGCCATTAGGCCAATATTAGGTTATCCATAGACATTTGAAATATCTTCAGGCCTAGAAGAGCCTCCAGGCTTCCGTCATAATGGTACATTAAAAAAAAAAAAAAATACAGTTTGGTAAAACTAATCCCGTCCGAATCGTCCATGGGAAAAACGGACATGCTGGGGCAATAATTACATAACCGACGTTCTATAGTAATACTAGTCCCGTGTGAATATGGCTTTAGAAAACTTCACAGTCCCTCTCGGCCACAGCAGAGATCCTCCCTGTCTTGTAGATGAACTTGACCTGGCAACGTGTCCCTGTGGTCGTGACACTGAAGCAGCAGCCCCCCTCCTGTAGCGTGGCGGAGTGTCTCTGAGAGACCTGCTCCAGCTCTGTCCCGCTCTCCCTCCCCTGCCTCCCCTCTCTCATCCACACCGTCTCGCCCTCTACTGCCAAAACCAACACTGTCCCCCCTAAACCCTGCACCTCGCCCATCCCCTCCTCCTGCAGTCCAGACACACGTACACACTGCGGCTCACGTACCTCAAAGTACTGGCCCCTGTCATAGCCGCGGCAACTAACACTGATAAGAAACGAGGCTGGCTCGGAGGTGACAAATTGGAGGACTTCCTCTATCCCGTTGTCGATGGCGACTGGGCCCCTGACCCTTTCTCCCCAGCGTATCTCTGGCCCTCCAAAGATCCGTACTTTCTCTGGGACGAGCTGGAAGCTGTGATGCTCCCCTGGCTTTAGGTAGCTCTCCAGACCCAACAGAGTGTCTTTATGCAGCTCCTGTAAGTTAGGCAGGCCCCATCTGACCGGGTCGTACTTTACCACAGACAGAACCCTGTGTCTCACCCCAGCATCGAAGCCCTGGGGGCCGAACGCCGGCCGGGCCAGGGTGGAGCGGATGTGCTGGGTGATGGTAGCAATAGGAGCCTGGGAGAGATCTATGGAGGTAGCACTTTCGTGTGGGTGCACCCTGTCCAGCAGACGTGTGATGCAGAGGCAGAGATCTCTGTGCTGGCTGGGGAGAGCAGCTGGGGTTGGGTGTGTGGAGGGAGCTCCGTGTCCCAGTGCTTTGCGGATGACCCGTGCAGGCAGGCCCTGGAAACAGGTGACTCTGTGGAGTCTGCGAGAGCGGCAGGGGTACACAGCCCCCTCTTCAAGAGGGGAGAGGCACAGACTGTCCTGGAGAGGGTGGAGGTCACGTAACAACTGAGCTAGTACTTTAACACTCTGTAACAGGCTCTCAGTTCCCCCGTCCGCCCAACACTCCTCCAACTCCTGGAGAAGCTCTGTCTCCACTCTCTCACTGTCTTGTAATAGACGGACAGCATCCCTAGGGTTCCACAATGATTCCACTGCAGCCCCAGGATCCTCCAGTGCCTCTGCCATGCTGTCCCACAGGAGAAAGCTAAAGATGTTCCACACTTTGTCAATGTGGTCTCCAGCTTGCAGGTGGTGGTGGTCCCCAGTGTGGAGATGGTCCCCAGCTCGCAGGTGGTGGTCCCAGGCATGGAGAAAGGCCTCAGCCACTGGCAGCAGCTTCAGTAACATACATCCCCTCTCAGACAGCAGCACCCCTAAAAGCAACAAAAAAGTTACTGATAGGTAGCTTGAGAAGTACCTGATACAAATAGGCAAATAAGTAAGTAGTGAGACCTACGGTGTGCTGTGCACTCTGCCACCCTGCTTAGCAGCCTTGAGGCATCCTGGGTCTTAATGAGGAAGAGGGTGACCAGGGCCCTGAGCTGAGCGATGTCCCCCACCCCCACCCCATCCAACAGGCACTCTCTGACGGTCCTCCTGGGCAGACCCACCGCCACCCCCAGCTCACACACATTTAGCCTGGCCCCCTCACCTGGAGCCACGGCCAGCAGGGACAGTACCTGCTGGAGCACACCTGAGAGGGAGGAGGGTGTGACACAGGTTGTCACTGTCAATTGTTTATTGTATTTTCAATCTGAATCTATGGTCTATCTGCTGCTACTGATCTACTTGTGTTATAATGGTAGTTAACTGGTGTAAGCTTTACCTGAGAGTATGTGGGTGTCTGGGAGAGACAGAACTTCCCCATCAGTATGTCTGGTCTCAACTGCTATAGGAGTACTACAGTCCCCATAATCCTTCACTTCCACAGGAGTACTACACACCCCAGGATCCTCCACTGCCACAGAGGTGATATAAGCTTCATGACCACTGACCACAGAGATATCAGGCAGAGCCTCTACCAGCCCACTGACTGAAATACAGACATAAAACACATGAGACAGAAAACAGTCATTAGAAATAAATTGGCAACAAAAGTAATAAACTTGTTATAACAAGTTAATAGCTAGTCACCACTGATGTCTGAGGCCAGCTGTTGGTCTTCGCTGCCCAGGGCCTGGTAGAAGCTACAGCAGGCCCTCTCTCCCTTGGACAGACAGATGGACAGGAGCTGGTGGGTCTGCTGGTAGGATGTGGGCACTGCCTGGACCTGGTCCAGCTCAAACTGGGTCAGGGTGCCATTAGAGAACAGCTCCAGGGAGACTGGCAGGACAGAGAACCCCAACCGGCCACACAGGACACTGAGCTGGGCCTGCAGCTTACGCTCTGGGGAAGCCCAACAGTTCAGCACAACATTGAATCAGATAGGAGATGACCAATGCCAGATTAAAACACCTATGCATACCAACAGTCTGACCCTTTCAGAAAGAGGTTCTCTTCATTACCATACCTGTGGGTCCACGCTGAATATCTGTGGGGGAAACAAAAGACATCAAATATTGTCTTAAGACTTATGTTTGCATGCGGAAGATGACATTTTGAAATGTGTTAACAATATTCATACACATGCGTGTGTTCACACACTTGTCCTTCCATACCTGCATCAGTTCTGAGCCAGGCTCGGAGGCGCGGGTAGTGCTGCTTGCATCTCCTGAGGCACTCCATGAAGCCTCTGGCCCCAGCCTCGTCCATCTCAGCCTGGACCACCTCCAGCAGCCTGCGGGCCCGGCCCTGAGGGGTCCTCTCTGCCCCCACCTCAAAGTAGTTCTCCTGGGAGAGCAGGCCGGCTGCCAGGGTCCTGTCCAGCAGGGGAGCCAGGTTATACAGGGAGGCCACCAGGAGCTCTCTGGAGGCCAACAGGTGGGACTTCACAGGCTGCTTTTGCCCCCCTGGAGGTCCCACTGGGCCTGGGTCTTCTGTCAGGAAGGATCAATCATTACTTAATCTTAGCAGTTATTCAAGCAGATAGGTAGTTACATTGTGGGACAGTGTGTGCTTCAAACTACACTAGTGTGCATATAAAAGGGGATACATCCTCTACCTAGGTCTAATGTAGTTGGGAATTCCATCACCATGTATACTGATCAATTGCAGGCAGCCTGGCAAAGAAAAGTACATTTCATTTAGATCGTTTTTTATTTAGCAAACTTTTTAATTGTGAATTATACATTAAATCACAGGTACATCTGGAACTTGTAACGCTAGCTTTCTTTCAGTCAACTTCCTGGTTTAGCATATGAGCACATTTCTGTCAAAGTTGACAGCAGAATGTCTGCCTTTTGCCCTTTTCCCACCAAAAAACCTAAATCCTCAAACGTGACAACACTGACTGTAATAATTTGGCTCTGAACTAATATACACTAGTAAACTTTTATTGAAACGAGTAAATTATCCTACCCGAATGTGTGGAGTCTCGAAGAAGTTTCAGCACTCAGCAGGGTTAAAGGACTACGGTACCCAGCATGCTTTGCAATTAGAAAGTCCCTGCCCAGCAACGAGCCGATTCCAAAGACTATGGACTCGTGGCTGTCGTGAGAAGGTACCTGAAGCCAGGTTAGTTTTGAGGACGACAATAAAGTTTGATTCTCACGGGATGGTGACATTAATAGCTACCACAAATGACATCATTTGCAAGTACATGTCTACTGACTCCAACTTTTACAAGGTAGTTTGCACGGCTGAATTTTTTTTTTGCAAGTGTCATGTGGCAATTTCTCAACGCTCTCCCTGGGAAGAGTAAGTGTCCTTGTCTTGTACAGATGAGATGACTCCACAGAAAAGCAGGAAGCCTCAGAGGAAACAGAGATCTCACAAGCTGCTGACCTTTGCCCATCCTGAGAACTTCCCCAAAAGCAGGGCAGGGTACAGGAAGCACAGCCACAGACAGAGGGCCTTCAGGGCAAGCTAAAGGTTGGAACATTACCGTACATTAGCCACCTTGACCTCTGTCGCAGCTCCTTCAAGTCACCAGAAAGCAGGTTCAGTGGACCATCCACATTCAAGTAGTCCACCTCAATAATTCAGAACATACGTTAAATGTTTATTCCACTAGATGGTAGTGTTTCACCTAGAACAGAATTACATTGCAGCTAGATGTTGCAATACCACTAAGTTGCCAACAGGAAGGGGGTGTCTCAACCAAAGCAACATCTATATGAAGGTCAATGGGGAAATATTTGAGGATAGTTATTGGGGACTCAGTGGACCCAAAGGCACAAAATAGGGAAATAAAATAAAGAGTTGATTTGCTGCAATTGATATTGCGTAATGAAATTGCGTATTAGCTAACTTTGAGGAAGCAAGAAAGTCAACAATGTCCCCAAAAGCAAAAATTTGCCCCAAATATTAGTATGATGATATGATAGTACCATGATCAGTTTCTAAAGCCTTCCCACTCTCTTTAATGTTCAGTCTAAGAAAAACATAGACAGCTACTGTAACAAAGGATTTGCAATCTTGTATTCCAACATGTTGAGTGATTATTTAGCTGTTTAGACTGCTTCTTGATCTTTTCGCCACAAATCATTGTATCAACCAGTAATTCAACAGACAATATTTTCTTTATCACCTCAGGTATGCACTATGCTATATGCTGTGGTTTGCAGGTTGCATGGCCAGGGTTGAGAGTAGAGTAGAGTGGGGAGGAAGGAGAGGAGCACTTGAGTTTTTCCAGAGAGCAGTGACTATGCCACAATAGCCAGGGGGAATCGAGGTTGCCAGCTTGTAGTCAGTCCTAAAATACATACATTAGTTACCTCTGGTTTGTTCAGCCATTCATATGGGAGGAAATGAAAGGGGAAAGAATGGGGTTTTGGGATCAATGCTGAAAATAAGGTCTGAGGTTAACACTTAGAAGATCTTATACATTTTGTTCTATGAGATAATATCAGTCAGTTAACATGACCTTTATGAATTACGAAGCCTTTATGTGCTTGTTTTGATTACATAAATGCTTCAAAATTCACCAAAGTGACATCAGCTGATGAAGATTATCTCAGAACAAAACATACACTGAGTGTACAAAACATTAAGAACACCTGCTCTTTCCATGACATAGACTGACCAGGTGAAGGCTATGATCCCTTATTGATGTCACCTGTTAAATCCACTTCAATCAGTGTAGATGAAGGGGAGGAGACACGATAAAGAAGGATTTTTTAAAGCCTTGAGACAATTGAGACGGATTGTGTATGTGTGCCATTCAGAGTGTGAATGGGCAAGACAAAAGATTTAAGTGCCTTTGAACGGGGTATGGTAGTAGGTGCCAGGTGCACCGGTTTGTGTCAAGAACTGCAATTCTGCTGGGTTTTTCACGCTCAACTGTTTCCCAAGTGTATCGAGAATGGTCCACCACCCAAAGGACATCCTGCCAACTTGACACAACTGTGAGAAGCATTGGAGTCAACATGGGCCAGCATCCCTGTGGAACGCTTTCGACATCTTGTAGAGTCCATGCCCTGACGAATTGAGGCTGTTCTGAGGGCAAAGGGTGGGGTGCAACTCAATATTAATAAGGTGTTCTTAATGTTTGGTATACTCAGTGTTTTAAGATCTACTAAGCCTTAAACACATTCATTTTCCCATAGGCTTTGGCCATGGCGGAATTAGTGCCTACAAAAAGACGCCATTACTATTGCTCTCCATATCTTAAGGAGTAAATATGTCAGATAATAACTGTCCTGCAGTATAAAGATTCCGGGAGCAGCGGCGGTAAACACAGGGTTAAGGGTCGTCACGGTGATGCCAGGGGGAGCGGGAGGGGCTTATTGTGTTCTGTGCGACTGAGTGGAGGAGGGGATGAATGGGGATTAACCTTGCCCCAGTGGCTCGCTATACTCCCCCCCCCCCCCCCCCCCCCCCCCCCCCCCCCCCCATACCCCCCTCCACCCCACCCAGAGACCTGGGGAACGTTGTGGGAACCCTCTCCTTCATCTGCCTCTAAGCAGTTAAGGGAGACTCCCTTCTCCACTTCTACACCAGCCTACCTCTCCACATACTGTACACAAGTTTGTCCTAATGCACAGGCAGTAGGTTGAAATTGTATATAGCTACTCATATAGGGTATACAATATATACATTTGCATACACACATACAGACACAGTGACATATTCATGGAGATAATGATGCTCACAAATGCTTACATGTGTACAAGTAGGCCTGAATCTCATAGTTGCTTGATACACTCATGTGCACAGTCGACCATTAAAACACACACTTAAGGGACAGACACACACACACACACACAATGCCGATGTGAGTGGGGGGAGACTGCACAGGCACACGCTTTAGTTTTCTTAACACATTTAAATCTGCTCCTACTTCACCTTAATGAAGGGGGGTTGGAGTCTCCCCCTCTCCACAGCCCAGAAAACACACACCCTCTTTCTCACACACACTCCAGCTCAAACACACACTCTGTCACTGCTTGACACGATCGACTTCCACATTGTCTAGGGAAGTTGTGAGGGACACTTGACAGGCTGGAGTAGTGGTTAATGGTGGAGATTGGTGGTCAGAATTAAAACGTTTTCACGATGAAGTCTTTGTGATATAAATACCTTATTTTGCTATTTGTCTGTCCCCTTGTTGACTTCTAGACTATTGGCTTGTGTGAATGCTTCACATGTGGCCTTAGGGATAAGATTGTAGATAGACATTTCTTACATCTGGCGTGTCTGATAAGGTACATTAAAACCACTTGGGTTTTTATTCAGCTCTAAATGTTCGCCAAGGTTTTTTGTAGATGGCCAAGGCTTCCAGACGTGTACCTACCCATAGAAGGACGGCTGCTCAGAATATGGAATATGTATAGCTATGTAACAAAGTAGCATCCTGATCTCGCAAGCTTACATTGTGTTTTGCTACACAACGAAAGGAGAGCGCAGTGGTCAGGATCGTGGATCAGGCTAGCAACAGAGAGATAAACAAAAGAGATGAAACTGTACTGTCAATGTTATTTGACAGGGTGTGGTTTTGGAATGTATCCATTGGCCTTTTTCTTATTGACTTCTATAGAAGCGTTGGAGTCCAGTGCCCTTCACTCTCAGGAAGGATACCATTTGTTCTCTCTAAACTTTGTAGCTTCACTTTGCCTCCACCAGAGGGCAACATCCACATACCACTCTGTCCATGCACACACACGCACACACACACACACACACACACACACACACACACACACACACACACACACACACACACACACAGTATGAGGCTTGTGTTGAGAGGGCTGTGAGTTGGAATGTGCCCTCTTTCTCTCAACATATAAAGCCACTAACTATGACTTTCATCTTCTTTGTGATGTAGTTTCCACTGTGAGGTTGACTATTTACTTTGTTTTACCACGGTGGTTTAGTTTGTCGTTATGAAGCTGAATAGTGTTTGTTTGACCATAGTCTCTATATAAATTCAGCTTTGGTGGGCTTGTTTTTAGATGCATCAAGTTTGTAACTCTTAACCTTGGTATGTAGTGTTATGTATAGAGGCCGTTTTAGGAAGATTTTGTGTTTCTGATAGGTTGCAGTTGGTCTGAATGAACCTCAAACTGTGTCTTCAGAAACTACTAGAGAGTAGTAACCCATTGACTGTTATGGTATGTCTCTATATGCATGTGTGTGAAGAAGGGAGAGTGTGTATTTGAAGTGTGTCTGTGTGTGTGTAGAGGAGTGTACCGCGCTGCTGTGTTAGGTTCTGATCTGAAGCAAGCTGTTGCTTGCTGTGAAAATATTATTGCAAGTGTTTATTATTGCTTCAGTGTGAAACAGTGGGAGTGTTGTGTGTGCCTCACGGGCTGGCGGGGGATGTGTGTGAGTGCGTATGAACGGGGAGTGTTTATATGTGTGTGAGTGTTGGGTGGGTAATCTCTCCTCCCTCCCTCCCTCCCTCCCTCCCTCTCTCCCTTTTCTGTTCCCACAGGCCTGCCACCAGGACCCAGTGCAGGCTGGGTAATGGCGAGGCCAATAGGAGTTGATTAGTTCCGGCTGGATCCCAGATAGTTCTGACAGGCAGGAGAAACGAGCTCCCAGCATGACCCCCCCCCCCCCCCCCCCCCTCCTGTCTGAGGCACAA